AGGTTCCAATTTGCCCTGCTCAGGAGTTTGTGGTAGCCCAGGGCTGCCTGGGCACTCGAGGCTGGGGCAGGGGAGGTCTCTGCCAGCCCCAAAAATCCAAGAGCAGCAGGGTGCTGTGTGTGGGAGCCGTGTCCCCGTGTCTGTCCCCTCTGTCCCCACAGCAGCAGGACCCCAAGGAGCCACTCCTGGGGTTGGGATGTGGTGATGTCCCCTCAAACCCTGACCCTCACCAGGGGCTCCCACTCCTCCGGAATTCTGAGTGAAGATGCAGCGAGGCCAGGAATCACCGGGAGAGGGAGCTGGCCTTGGAGAAATCGGGAATTTGGGGAATTTGGGGACTCAGGGGCCAGAGCAAAGACGCAGCCCTGAGTTCCTGCCCTGCTCCTGTTGCAGGTTTTGGGTCCAAGCCTCTCTTTGGGGTTTCAGCCCCTTCCTTTTTATTATTTATGGAGTTTTTTTGTCACTTTTCCATCAGATTCCAGCAGGCACAGACACACAGAGACTTTTCTTCTGCAGAAAAGTTGTTTTGAAGCCCAGCACAAACCCTGTGTGCCCTGGAAATGCCCAGTGCCCCTCCGTGCCCCCTCCACCCCAACCCTGCAGCTCAGATTTTGTCCCCCTGGCTCTCCAATCATCAACATAATAAATAATTCTAAAATTATTTTTTTTTTCAGTCTGCTCTGGGGTTTCTGCTGTGTCTTTAAGGGTGGGTGAATTCCTGGTAGGGTGGGAGGAGGATCCTGGGTTAAGCTTCACCCAGCAAGGCACCAGAATTCCCTGCTGGAGTTGTGTCCTCCCCTCTCTGAGCCCTTTCATTAATTCTGTGTTCATTTAATCCTGGTAAGCTCCTAAATCCCTGCTCCCCAGCCAGCCCTGCTGCCTGGTTTCAGCTTTCCTCCCTGCCTGGGAAAATTTCATTAGCCAAAAAAATCCCTCTGCTGCTCCCAAGCCTGGCAATGGGAATGTTGTTCTGGGATTTGATTCCTGCTGGGAAACCTCCCTGGGCTGGCTGCTGCTAAAATCTCCTCACCTGCATCCTGTGGGTTCTTCCCATCCCCTCTTGGGCAGAAATATCCTTTTGGGATCTGGATCTCGGTACAAAATCAGCTCAGAGCTTCCCAATCTCCTCTCTGGGCATTCCCTGTGTCCTGTCCCTCCAGGCCTTGTCCCCAATTCCAGCTCTCCTGGAGCCCCTGCAGGGACTCTGAGCATTCCCTGGAATTTTCCCTTCTCCAGGGGAACATTCCCAGCTCTCCCAGAGCAGAGGGGCTCCAGCCCTGGACCTCCTCTGACCCTGCTGTGACAGATCCATGGCCCTTGTGCTGGGCTCTGGATCATTTTCCAGCCCCTTTTCTCTCTCCCAACAAGAAACAGGAACAAAAAATCCATCGTGGAGCCCCTGAGGGAGCTGCACATCTGCTCCAGGGGGAACCTGCACACCCCAGGCACATCCCAAGCACAAATCCCATGGATGTGATTTCCCACTCTGGATTTCCCTGGTGCAGCAGCCTGCTGCTCACAGTTCCATGGAGGAATTGTTCTCCAGGGTGGCCACCCCTCACTCTGTGCTCCTGGCTCTCCTGGAGGTTTCATTTTCAGGGGTTTCATCCCCTCAGTGTCCCCATTTCTCTGTGCAGCTCAGGGGTGTTGGGATGGCTCTGGGATCCCCAGGGATGTGCTGGGTTTGGGATTCCCACACCAGGAGCAGAGCTCAGCCCAGGGAGAAATGACAGAGACGTTTTTGGGACATCCCCTGGGTGTCACCATCCCCTGGGTGTCACCACCCCCTGGGTGCCAACATCCCCTGGGTGCCAACATCCCTTGGGTACCAAAATCCCCTGGGTACCAAAATCCCTCTGGTTCCAGGATTTTGTGGGTGCCAACATTCCCGAGGTTCCGGGGTTCCCTCCCCGGGGAACCAACCCGTGCCCCTCTGGGTGCTGTGCGATGTAAAATGTCACGACATTTTTATTTCCCTTTTATTTCCCTTTTATTTCCCTTTTATTTCCCTTTTATTTCCCTTTCCTTTCCACCAGCTGAGGGCGTCCCGAGACCGGGGAACAGAGCCCGGCGGGAGCGGAGAGCCCGGGAATGGCTCTGGAAAAGCAGCGGGATTTCGGGAAGGGATGGAGCGGGATTGGAGCCTTGCACCGACCCCTCGGCCACTCAATTTTTAATTAATGATCGAGGTCCCGGCGCTGGGAGCTTTGCCAGAGGCTCGAGTAGGGGAAATACAGAGTGGTGGTAAAAATGAAGGGGTTTGGAGCTCTCCTAATTCCGGAGGAAGGAGGTCCCAGCTCACCTGGGCAGGTGTATCCCAATGGATTCACGTGTCCCCATGGGAGCCGCGGGATTTGGGCAGCGCTTTTTCCTGGGTTAGGGATGAACCCTGCAGGGAGTGACCCCAAAATGAGCCAAAATGAGCCCCCATCTCCTCCATCCCATCGGAGCCAGGGATTCTGTTCTCCCCGCTGGGAATCCCGTGGAGATTTCAAACCCCAAAATCCTCCAGCTCTGGGGTGTCTCTCCAGTCTGTTCTGATTTCCCCCCAAAATTCCACAAGTTCCCACCCTGCCTCCTGCAGCAAAACCTGTGTAGGGTCTTTCATTCCTTTTCCTGCTTTCCCCCCTTTTCCATCCCCCCGAACAGGGAAGGAAGAGCAGCAGCAGGAGCTCTGCAGGTGCCTCCTGGGTGAAATCCCTAAAAAATGTCACCGAAAGCCCCGCGATGGCCTCAAGGGCAGCTTGGGGCACGAGGGGAGGGAGCTGGGCAGTGCTTTGGGGTGACACCGCCCCAAAGGTCCCCGGGGGACCCTCCCCAGCCCCCTCCCCGTGCTGGGGACACACTGTGCCCTTTGTGCCCGTGCTGGGTTTTGTTTGCCGGGACCAGCAGCGGGGCTGAGCCCCTAAATCCCCCCCAAAGCCACCCCAAATGAAAGCCAGCTCACCCCCTGACCTCCCAAATCTCAGCGCTGCCCTGGGCTGGCCCGGGCTCAGCAGGGAGCTCCTGTGCCCCCTCCTGAAGCTTTCCCAGCACGGGGGGATGGAGGGGGGGATGGAGGAGGGGGTGGGGGGGAACCTCGACCTCGATGTCGCAGCGCCCAGAAATGCTGAGCTCAACCATTCCAGGCAGGACACCGAGTGCCCGAGCCCGGGCTGGCAAACAGCCCCTGCCTTTGCCCAGGGCCAAAGGTTAAAGGAGCTGCTGCCCCCTGCGAGGGGGGAAAGGGCCACGCAGAGACCCCC